GTTAAATGCATCACAGTGAACATCAAGCTAAGCAGGGTTGAAGTAAACTTGACAAAACTCAGTACCTTAGAAGAAAAAACTTGGAACACATTTTATGCTGACCGTACCAGTCTTTTTAACAGGAACTACTGAAAACAAGACTATGGTATGAAATATCGGCAACGCATTGTTTGCTTTACTGTTGAAATTTTCGGTTCAACTGGTCAGCAATATCAGCTGATCCATGCGTGAAATAAACCTGTCTGCCCCTCCTGCACACAGTGTACGTTCTGCTTGCACTTTCCTTCCATCGGTACACAGGTAGAGGTGCATACCCAAAATGATTTCTTTAGTATTCCCTCCCAGGCAGGAGAGATTTTTTCCTATGCAAAACGACTTTTACCTCCAAACTAAGCCGTACTCTGAGTTTTTGTATTTGCAAACGTCAGGAATTTTTGAACCGTTTTTGTCACTCAAGCTAAGCATGCACTTTGGGAGTCGAGTAAGAGTTGAAAATTTGACGGCAGAAATTGGTTTTACATAGTTTTAGATCTAGAAAATCCTGCTTATGAACTCACTAAACACATCCTAGAACACATTGTGAACATACTTTGAAATAAATCACAATACCCTGCTCTCCAGTGATTATCTTTCGTCCTGTGTTGTTCACCTACTCCAATCTCGTGTTTTATTCCTTTGTTTTTGTGATTTTTCCTAACGGACAAACTCAGTTTGCATATGAGAAATGCGAATCTACCTGTACTATATTCATTTTAACTTTTCTACTTTCTTTTCCGAACTACCTGGTTGTCTCCGGCCAACTTTCATTTGCAGCGTAGGTTTGTTCCCCGTTCTTCTTATGTGGTTGGTATGCTAACCCGTAACATTTCCTATTATTACGGGCGAAATTTATGTGCACTTTGTGGACCCACTTCGGTGGCTGTTGACGATGACAACGGAGCTTAGCGCTGCTTTTCTTGCGTTAGTTCTATTTTATCGGAAAACATATCGTTAGGATATACAAAGTGTCGAGTTTGCAAAGTCCGCTTGTTTTCCTACAGGATGTGGTACATGTTTACGTTTTTGAGACTTAGCGCGTCACTTTGTACCAATCAGCCGAACAAAACGCGTTAAACCGACCGATGTTGAATAGTGAGGTTCAGTTGACAGCCCTAAGGATCCGAAACATAAGCAAACAGTGTCCTTTTTGAGCTGATCGGTGGCTTGCATTTTCACGTGATGATTGTACACCACACATGCAAATCACGTGCATAGTAAGGGTCGTTAAAACACAGGCTACTTCCTAATTAAATTACAGGATTGATAATTCGCACTTAGGGTTGGTACCTGAAATACTGCACCCTGTGTCGTACTCAGCTAGAATTAACTGTGTGTAGTTACTTTGAAGTACCGAGTATAATTTGGGTTGTCGACCCTGTACGGACTCTAAGAAGGAACTCCAAATATATTTTGAGGATGATTAGGATGAAATAGGACAAAGGTGAGGTTATCATGTATACTAGAGATGCAACGAACAAAGGATAAAAACAGTGCACCATAGCTTGTTTTCTGGTTACGGCTAACTTCAAAATCATGATTGATACACTTGTTTTGTTTGAAATAGGCATAGGGGAAACATCATTTATTCGTCATGGTAATTGATATTTGCTGGGGATAAAAGGTTTGGTCTGGCAAAATATGCACTGTATCTTAAACACGTATCCAACGAGATGCACAGAACCCTGATGCACAAGAGAATTAGGTCCTGGCGTTAAAACGAATAAAGTAGATCGACTTTACAGATTCGGAAACCGAATTCCTTAAATCACAAAATCCGCGCGACCAGTTTCTGGAATCAGTGTAGTTAACTGTTGTTTATTTAGGTTCGAGGGGAAACATATGACCAATGGAAAGCATAGACCTGAAGTTGTCTTCCACAATTTAGTTAAATGAATTTCTCATTTGCATCTTGCTATTGACTGATTGTCTGGAAAATACATTGTGCTTTCATTCATTCAGCATTTTTTTTCTATTCGGCATGACGTTTGAAACAGAGCAGATGTTTGTGAATTCAGCCAAATTCACCCTTCCATTTGTTCATAAAATTTTCGGTGTACATGTTCGCTGAACAGTTTTTTGGGTGCTGTTAGAGGGGATGCTCGTCCAACCCCAAAGGATATGGTATAGCTCATCAACTATTGGTCCAAATCAATCCTCTGATTATTGGTAAAACTTTACGGTCATGCACCGAGAACCCATTGGTGTGGGAAGTTTACGTCAATTAGAAACCTTCAATTTAAGTGACCTAATGTTCGACAGATTGCAACGCTCACCAGAACGCTGACTGCGCTTGCCAGTGCATGATGAAAATTTGACAGTTTCTGTCGGACCTGGCTAGACAATACTGGGACGCTTGAATTTACACCTCTTTTGTTCCGAAGTAACGTTGGTGCTGAATTGAACTTCTTTTTAACTGCTCGATTCACAAATTTTGGCAAAATCATGATTGTAAGTCAGCTGATCGCCAGGTTTACAAAACGGACCTATGCGCATGTCCCTCTGAATAACCGAAGGATCCAAGGAGAGTTCAGAATCAGCATCATTTGTGGAAAGTTATAAACTTTCTTGTTTCAACTAGACCGTGAATTTACCAAAATTGTTGGATAAAGTCCCGATATCGACTTGACCAAATGGTCAAGGATCACGTGCGTTGCGGACTTGCCTCGCCGGCAACCTCATGAAATAAATAGATCTTCCATGCACTAATTCGCTTGTTCTTAACCAATTCATGTTCTACATCATGAAACGGTCAAAAAATGATTAGAAATTACCAAGGATACAGCTAGATCCCATGCAATTAAATTTTTTGCTCGCTGAATTTCAATGTTGTTTAGGTAGCTTTTCATCTAACTTGTCTGACAGTCTGTTTTTATACACAAAGCAATTTACGTTACAATGTTGTGATTTCTAATTCAGTTCAAAGTGCAAGTGATCAGCGGTTTCCTGTAAGCAATGTATCTAAAGTCGCTTTGTTTCTCTAAGTTGGTCAAGAAAGCCAATTCGTATGTGGTTCTCAGTGGCATGCGGAGTCGTGAAGTTTGGCTCAGTAGTTAACATTCATCCTCAGAAGAGACTCACGTAAAAACTTGCGTCAGTAGTTAGAATAGCAAGTGAAAAACGTAAAACAGCTGTTTATTCCAACAGGCTTAAATCTAGTTGTCCAAAAACTCACCCCAGTAATATAAAAGTTTTGAGTGATTTGTGGCTTTTAATTCTGTCTAGTTTGCCCAGATTGTTGAACATATGTGCCTATTCAAAGACTAAACCGCTCACTTCGCACGGGATTTTCAAGTTTACAAACATACGGTTTTTTCCACATCCACGCGCTTTACTACATTTTATTTTACCTACTGATTCTTCATTATGGAGTGGTCTGGTCTCGTGGAAATAGGGGCCAAACGTGTTTGTGAAGTTCTACTGGAAATTGTTAAAATCGGAACCGTCAAAAGCTTGTAACTTTCGAGACTTTTATCCATGTGGCAGTCGGTTGAATATGGTCTGCACAATTCCTTTGAAGATATTCATCATTTTATTTCAGATTTGAATCACTTACTTGAGGTATACGGATTGCCCGACGTACTCTACGTTAGTAGATTTTGTGTTGAACATTGACTGAGAGAAGTGACTGTCACCAGGAATCCTAATAAACAGAAACAAATTCTCCAGGTGTTTTCAATTTAAAGTTATAGTTTGGGTATTTCTTACTACACACAAGAAATGGATATATTTCCACGAAAGCTTATCTCTTTTTGTGTATTATTAGAGATAGGAAAAGTATGTATGCAGATCAGTTGTTTCTCAAAGTGGCAGACGGTTCTTAAGTTCGTATGATGTGTAAAAATCATCTTCAATAGCCATTAGTAATTGACTCAAACACGAGAGCTTTATAATCCCAGTTCTGCACCGCCTGACTCCTTCTCATCCATTTTCTCTGCGTTTATTCTATTGGACTGCGTATTAGGTGCCGAGGAAAGATAGTTAATTACATGCATCTTGTGTGATCGAGTTGGGCAACCAGTTCGCCTGCGGATGATTTCTGAGCTATCCATGTTCCTTTTCATCCGCGCGAAATAAGTGTACCGAAGGGAGAGAATGAGACCAGTGCATTTTTGTTACCGTATGTATTAGGACTGAATCTCAGGCTTGATCATCGATAAACAAGATGGTGGACCATAACGCTGGGAGCGGAATTCTGCCTACTTGTAAGTAGTATGGAGAGCGGCGGATTTACGTCTGAGATGCAGTGTGAAGGATGGTAAACTTTTCGCTTGACTGTATGCTAACATCACTGTGACAAGGAGGGCAGTTGCGCTTCACTCCATACACCGTCAGTCTGGAAGGCCTTGCAAACACTGAGGCTATTTTGCGATTACAATAACCTTGTTTTCAGCGCTTTCTTTTGGCATTAAGGAATCGAGCGCCACTGGGTTATTTGGTTTAAAGATATCCAGTTATTTTGTGGCTGGACACTACGTTAGGGAACCTTGGTGATCAACACTGAAGCTGCTCCTAATATCCGACAGTCGTTGACATGATCTGTGTAATTCTATTAATAAAGCCCATTTGAAAATGATTCCACATTATCTAGTACCGTGGTTAGTTGAATGAATAATGTCTGTATTCAATGAAAAACGGTCGTCTTGGGAGGTATCTATATCCGTTTCAAAGAAGGTGATTGGACCGTGTCCCATGTGATTAAAATAACCACGTACAGTGTAGTAAACATTTTCTATTAGTATCATCCGGCTGTGCTCTTCTTTACGGTGAGTCAACTAGAGCATTTATATCCATTATCGTCTGAATGAGCCGCCGTCATCTGCATCTGAATTGGCCGATTGTTTGATTATCAGTCTTTAATATTTTTTGCTTGGTTGATGAGCAGGAAAATGTAGTACGTTTTAAACCGCTCATACTGCGGTTAGTTGTGCCAAGTCTTTAATACCTGAATTTTATCTTTTCAGCTGCTGACTGTCTGCAATACATGCGCAAAGGCAGTGCATTGATTAAGATGCACACAGGAAGAAAACAGTGTAGAACCTTCTACTTGGATGACCAGATGCGTTGCATACGATGGATTTCCAGTAGCAAAAGACACGCAAGGGCACAGAGTAAGTGTCTTCTGTTAGCGAAATATATTTCATTTTCGGAGGTTTCAGACCTTGGACGCGTCAAACGCAGTCCGGAAAACCTTTGCTTGAAACCGCCCGCTGGTATCTTTTATTGTAAAGTAGTGTAGAACCTTCTACTTGGATGACCAGATGCGTTGCATACGATGGATTTCCAGTAGCAAAAGACACGCAAGGGCACAGAGTAAGTGTCTTCTGTTAGCGAAATATATTTCATTTTCGGAGGTTTCAGACCTTGGACGCGTCAAACGCAGTCCGGAAAACCTTTGCTTGAAACCGCCCGCTGGTATCTTTTATTGTGAAGTGATTCCTAGATATGAGCGATAAATGTCTACTCTATACTTTACCAGAGTTTTAGCTTCGCCAATTCCCATAGTGTGTCTAAATTGTCCGTTTATGGGAATTCGATTAAGGCCACTTTACAGTCGAATACCAATGCCTTTCAATGAAATATTTTGTCGGGCGACTGGATTTTTAATTGCATGTACTGTCCACCATTACGCTCACGTAAGATTCTTGGTTAAAGAAGGACCAATCATATTGGAAAAAGTTTTCTATCCCCGTAACAGACCGTAGTTTGTTCGTGATTAAAGATTGAAACTAAGCTGCCGTTTATCGTTGGTGCATATTCGTACTACGAAAATTAGATCCACAAAATGATTCGCTATAAAAGGTGGTGAAGTTACCTGTTCAATTGATGCCTAGCAATCTGTCTTGCTTGCCAGCACACCCGACCTCAAGTTGAAAACTTATCTGTCAGTTTTTTAATCGTGGATATCGATACATCATTTCGAGACGCAAATCGAGCACATGCTGTTTATTCTCGTAGCTGATCTCTTCTGGGCTGAAATCCGTAAAGGATTGAATGTTTTGAAAAGGATTCTTGCTGGTAATGGTAATATGTTTATGGCTAGGTAATCATTCGTTGATTTTCCTTAGGAGGTTAACCATCAGTGACGTACATACCTTTAACACTCCTGTCGGGCTGGATTGTATAATTGGTAGTATCCTTCACAGAGCTCAATATAGTTGATCCTCGATCTTCGCGCCTGCTGTTATTAAATACCGGCTAGTTTGATTGATAATGAGTAACCATTACCGGTCCTCATCAGAGCAGAGTAAAATTATCATATCTACAGTAATGGATTCAAAACGACATTTCGGCACATTTTTTATCCACTATGTGTGCATCATTTATTCTTGACTGATCACAATGCACGTTCCTGTATTCGCTTTATGTTATTCGCGGATGTGCGCAGCGCGAATCTCCCGGGAATCAGTCTTAAATATCGAATATTTGCTTCAATAGTTTGCGTTGTGGGGTTCCAGCTCTTCATCTATCTTCAGCCATCACGGCACTTTCAACTGCATTCTTTTACTTCTATGGGTACTGCCCCAAGAGAGATGCGGATATTGTTGCGATATTTGTCCCTATTTCTTGAAACTCTTGACCAAAGTGTGTAACTTGGCTTGGTGTGTAGAAACTCATCAGTTTTACCCCCTAATTTCCACGTTGAGATGTTAAGCCAGATTTACGCACCAAATTACGTTTCTCAGTGAAAGCTGAACAAAAATTTCACACCGAATGGGACTCGCAAGGCTTAATATACCACTGCCTTCAATTAGCTTCCGTGCCAGCGTCCGAACAAAGCTGTGGGAAATGGTATAACAGGAATGGACAAATTTCCCGGCTGAATTGAATACACTCGCTGTCACTGCACAATTTACAGCGGCGCAGTACTGCATGGGTGCCTATTTTGTTAGCTAATCCCTTGGTAGCAGATCCCTTTGTGGTTTTACTGAGGTTTAGCTATTCACGTGGCCTCTAACTGAGATTTGCGAGTTTGTGTTGTACGGAATGCTCAGTAGAACTGGTGGATCGAAAATTATCTTTAAAAGATACGGGACAGAATTTCTTAGCTTCCATAAAGTTGTCTGTTAAATGTCCGATTTTGTGATCATAATCGCATTTTCACTCCACACTATAGTGTGTTCATTTTGCTGATATCAAGCGACTCATTTTTGTTAAAGTTCTGTTATTATGTAAACATCCATATCGTTTCTACATTTTTGTCCACATAATCAAGATATGTGCGCTGTATGACTCTATGGCGACCGCAACCGACTGCGTAAAGTGAGAGAGCTTTGTCTGGGAGAGTTGATGAGCGCCCTGTTCCTGGATTTGTGATAGAATTATCACGCTGATTTTACCTATTGCCAGTGGTAAAACTTTAAATGTAAACATATTAAGACCCATCTCTGTTTGCATTGCTTAATCAACTTATTACTAGACACAAACAGTCTCACGTAGAAGTTTGGACTAGAGTGAATTTGCAAATGCAAATTTTCAAGTAGGGAAAATAAAAACCGACTGTCATCTTCACCAAGTGTCTGTCACTTACTATCGGTCGGTTGCTCTGGATCACCCATCTATCGTGAACGTAATTCTGTGAATGCTTAAATGCGGGTGATTAATTTCTGAGCCGATTACCTAAAAACTACTGAGAGGGTTCAAGAACACTACTTAGCCCACCCAGGAATTCAGTATAGCGGATCCAACCAGTATAGTAGGCACTGTCAATTAAAGGTAACATGTGAGAATACGGGAAAACTCCCGATAGGATGAATAAGAAATACAAGGTGTTCCGAATTATTACGCCTGTAAATATCCACCTACCTTGGATAAGCAACTCTTATTCAGAAAATTTCGAAAATAAATAGTTCTTAGTAATATTCCGACGCTTGCCCCGAATTCACTACCAAACCGTGGAAAGGTTTATACTTATTGTATGAAGCACACTGGTTTTGGAAAGATAAGGATCAAGTTCACTTCTTTTGTTAGTTCCAGCTTCCGCTAACATTAGATAAGTAGTGTCGTTCAGGAAATTTTTCTAGGATTTATTTGACCCTTCTTGAGCAAAAATATTCCAATCAGGAAGCCTAGTCCATATGGTATTTAAACCTGGGGCTGACTACTTTTGTGGAAGCGGCCTTGAATATGATGTGCTTGCTCATATTCAGCAAGGCGTTAACTCTTACAGTTCTCTTTTCCTACAGTTCACCTTACTGAGCTTCATGATGTACAGCTTGGTTGCTCCACAAAATCCACCCATTCGTTGAATCGCCGGCGTCATTCTAGCCTGGCACCTGGATCAAACCAATCCCCGTCTTCCAACAGCACAAGCAGTATGCAATTTGCAAACAATGCTGGATCGTCTCGGACTATTTCTGGTTCTCAATCATGGACCAACACGTTACCCCCGCCTAGTAGTGCAGTTCGACTAACCCTAGCCTCATGTGCTTTCACCATCACTTATGGGCCAGACTTTGAGACACTTGAGTTGCTAGCCAATAGCCCAGAAGAGGCAAATATTTGGGTCACTGGGTTGAAGTGCCTCATGACCGGTGCTCAAGGTAAGTGATTCTGTGTCGACCACTTAGATGTCCAACATATATGTGGATGTGGAAGCGATATGATACCATAATCTTAGAAAAGTCAATGCATCTAGTGCAGGTTATCGAGCAACATTCGACCTCCTCATATGATAAATAACTATAAATTGAATACTTAATAACTGTCTATGCACAATAAAAGGGTTGTAAAGTATACCCCTTAAATTAGATCTGTGAAAGCGGCAGTCCGATAAGTCCTTTTCCTGGAAATTTCTGTACACTGATAGTGAATGAAGTATGATGGATACTTTTTACTCACGAACTTTGCCAACGTAGAATGTTGGTGAGGCGCATTTGGTTTTGAAGAAAAGCCGAGTTGTAGTAACTGACTTCTGGATGCACGACACTGGTGTTACCAGTACCAACTAACCATGTCAGCATTTTAAACTGAGATTTTGTTCTGTAACTGAAGCCAATATCTGTTGAAAAGCCACAAAATACTGTATAGCTTTCACACTTATTGAGAATCATCAGTAGTGCCCATCTCATGAAACTACACAGAGTCTCAAACCCATGACCCTTAGGCTAGTAGTTTGAACTCGTACCTAGACAGAATCTATTAAGCTTCGAGAATGCCATTGAGTTTGGTGATATCTGCGCTACTGATGAGTCCCAATAAGGATAAAACAGTGAAATAATTCTGTACAGTCCTTCTTGGCTTTCCAGCATGCATTGGCTTCACTTATGTGATGAAATCTCGGCTGAAAATTCCCACATCTCCTCACACCACTATCGATGTTGGAATCCACTGCTGCAAGTAATTGGATTGTCTTTGGCTTCAGATATGAGTTGAGTCAACAGCAATAATAGTTGCAAATTAGCACTCGACTGTGTGTGTTACAGGATTAAACGGAAGTTTGAGCCAATATATACCTTCACGCTGTTTACTTAAATTCCGCTGAGATCATCACTTCATACAACGAGTACCGTCAAATTATCATCCTTGGTATATACCAAATCCTAGCCTTCATAGGATTCCATCTTTCATTCTTACCTAAGTTTGCAAAATAAAATTGCCTCTTTGTGTATGATCGTGGCGTAGCACAGTAGCAGACCAATACGGTGTACAGCAAACTTTTCAGTGTGAAATGAGCTCTGATAAACTTTGCCTAATTAGCTGTGGAATTGAACAAACCGAACTGCTCTCAACCCTTCTTGGGGAATCAGGTCAACACTAGTATATTCAAATGGGTTTTTCTTCATGGAAAGGCCCTAATCTTTAAACATCACTGTAGATTGTAGTCTCAGTGTAGTCCTAGGATTCTTCTGGCCAGAAAAACATATATCCTTGAAGGTTTTCTTAGCTTTCTTTAACCGTGTGATCTTTTTAACATTCATTTAAGGTCAAATCCGTAATGTATTTGAACGTAAAACATCACATACATTTTTATGCACAACGTATAAAGCTAGAGATTGCAAATTTGGTGTGAACGTTGTCTCACCACTTTGTTAAACGTTTCTGTGTATTGTTGGTAATGTGTTGGAATATTGGTAGCTCGGGTGTATTGGTTGGTAATTGATCTGTATTGTACAGATCGAGAACGGGCCAATCGGAATTCAGGTTACAGCGCAAAGGCTGCTATTTGTAGACCATATAAACGCAGGCACGAAGAGAGGAACTACCCAACCAACAGCGCACTGAAGATGTCTCCTCGAATGGTGACGAAACGTTTGCAAATCAATTGCCAAGCTCAGCGAACAGATCAACAGCCACCTGATCAATTACCAGCTTCTGTGTATTATTGCGGCTCAGACGAAGAATAGCCTTGTCTCAAAAGTGCATGTACTTGCCTGAAGTCAGGGAACGATGCCTCAAGCGGGATGTGAAGATGTTTCTATATGAAGCTTAGATATCCCAGACTGTGCACTGACCCTTAGTTACTGCAAATTCACAGTAAAATTCTATATTCCTAGCTAGACGCGAAAAATCTATTGTTCCTGGTAGCTAACCAGTTATTCTTTCAAGGTTAAATGTCGCAATTTCTAATATCAGTAGTGCATTCCATAAGATTTTTCTCCGAATTATTATTGCATAATTGGTACAAACATGATTACTTCCCTAAGATCTGTTAACTTATCACAGCACCGTGATTTATTTACGCGGCTGTAGATCATACTTTATGGGTATGCAAAAGTTAGGCAATGTTAGTTTATATAATCTCACAGGAACCACGATTATAAAGTGAAAGAGTTATTAAAAACGTTTCCAAAAACTCGTGTTAGATTCCAGACTTAAATATCGACAATTTTTGGAGCATACATGAATGGAAGCTAGAGAGACGCCCGTTGCATGTGAGCATTTTCTAATATCCGGTTATAAGTACGTCACAATAAATCAGAAGCAAATCGATACTGTTATGTGCACACTCCTAAAATCAGCACTTTTTCACACTTGGACAGAAAAATCAATTCTTCTGGCATTTTGCATCCTAGAAAAATGCATATTTAAATTCTTGTTTTACAGTTCGAAACCGACCAACTTTTCTCGAGAAAAAGGCCTCTAAAGGCTTTCCCAATTTTGTTCGAAAGTGCTCACTAGGTAGTATGCAACAACCCATATGTTCTGGAAAGTCTGGCAGCAGCTGTACAGAAAGTCTGCGTATTTGTTTGCTTAAGCATTCGTGTCACAATTCAATTCTGGGTTGCAAACCAACCCAGGTACATACGAATTGATGTTGTATACAAAATCAATGAAACATGGCTTATCTTCGTCCGCGTCGGCGGTCGCACCATATGGCTACTACCGTCCTTGTTTCGGAAACCCGTCAGTCAATCCAAGTAGCCTTTTTTAATCTACACGTCGCTACAGTGCTCTGGTCGAAGTGATGACATGACAATGCTCCAGGGCGAACGACTGCGCAACTTGGACTACATTTGACCATTTACTGATCAGAGATGTAGGAACGGCATTTCAAGTGCGTACATGGTAGCCAAGTAGGAAACCAAAACCTTTCGAATCTGACAAATGGACAAGAGTGGATTGTGTTGGCACGCTGTGGCAGCAATTCAACCGTGGTAACGTCTATGTGACGGTGTACCACCCGAGCCAGTAACATTAATTCAACCGGGAACATCCATCTATCGAGATCCAATAGTCAGTGTTTCTAGTCTCTGCCTCAGTACACAATGCTCGGCGGCTGGGTTGGAAATATGTCCAAAACTACAAACTTCTTCGCGTGACAAGTAAAAATGTTGATCATCCTGCTTCATTCAGAGTTCCATCAAACTCCTACCACCAACCACTGGTTGTGGAAGTCGAAGCGGTGCAGTTATTGTCAGGTTTTGTAGACCGTGTTACCCGCCAAAGTGGCCCGTATGATATCGCAGGCGCACCGTTCATAATAAGTACAGTTTATCAGCTTTGCCTGCTTACGTTATGCGACGAAATGTATGCGATGATATAGTCGGCCTCTTCCATGGCTCTTGCACCATCGAACACCTTAGCAGCATTGTTCCAATGAGTTACTTGTCTCAAAGTAGAGTTTTAAGCTCTTACAAATATCCCAAATTGTCTATATGCTTCAGCCACCATGGCTTTGCACTGAAGTATCAGTTTTGAACCATTTTCACGTTTTCAATAGGGAGCAACATGTGGTATGTTATCTTTTAAATTTGCAATGTTGGAACCTTTTGGTAAAAAACTGTGGTTAGGTGCAGTCTGATGCCAGAATTTACTTCTAAGCTCAATGCAGTGTATTCGGTTTATTCCGTAGACTGGACTTTGAGTGACTTCGCAGCGTCTTGGCTAAAGAAAGTCATGGTGTGGTTCTATGGTGTCACAATAATTCCTTTTTCCCTCCGGTGTTAGCAGCATGGCTTCTCTCAATTTCATTCGCCCTCAAGTCATTCAGTACAAGATTACCTTGATCAGTGTGTATAACTGCACTTTCAAAAAGTACAGGGAGAGCATACAGAGACGATATGTTTTACCTTACAAATTCAATCGAGTTTTCTCGGCGAGATACTACTTTTGAAACCAATATTCTTCTGTTGATTTTGTCTCATAAAATTAGCTGCTTATTTTGGGAGCTCAGGATTAGTTAAGTACGAGAAGGCGGCTGTACAAATCAACGAATAAGAGAATATTCATGAATAACAAAGAAATTCTTAATCAAAAACGGTATGCTTCTTTTAACCGGCTAATAGATTTTAGATTGGAATCGACGCTAAATTGCTCGATCCTATCCATCTCTTGTCTACAAGTGTTTGGGCTCGTGTTTTTATAGCCAAACGGGTGTAGCTGTTTAAACCGGTTGTATCTATTACCCTTCATTAAGGAAATATTTTTGTACAGCTTCATAGGTCGCCCTCAGCCGATGAGTTTTATCTTTATCAATTTGAGCCCTCCAAGTAAAAACGACTCCGAGAATCTCTGATTTTCCCTAAAGTTTTGCAATAAAACCAAAAAACGGAATGAAACATTAGCAAGTCAAACACAAGGGTGCGATTTCTGGACGTTACAACGTTGCATTGTGTTGTGAACTAAAGCTACGGAAACAAGACTAAATCCAGATGCGTTGTATTAGACAATGCTGGTTAAATTGAGCCGTACAGCTTCAAGATTCACCTACAATTACTTGTGGATAATTTTTACCCATTCGTGGGAATTTATCTACTGCCAACCGTTTTGAAACATGTTGCACTTGAAAAGTACAAACAGCAAAAATATTGCAATGGCAACGAAACTCTACAATTTTAAAGGAATTACGTTTATCCTTCCATTGTTTAAAAAATATGAATCTGGTTTCTTTCGAGCACTGAGAAACATGTGGAAAATTGTGACAACCGAACATATGGAAATTCGGGTTGTAACCGCGATAAACCGACGAATAGGAAGTCCATATGTGACAGATTTACAGTTGAATTGTTCCGGTCTAGGGTTGGGCTGACTATGCATTGTTATTAGTGCCAGTTAACATAAGATTGCATTCCACGGAACATCCGAAAGTGGAAGTTTATTA